GGGGATGGGGCTGGGTGCGGGGCGGGCCTCGGGCCAGAGCACCCCGGGCTCAAGATCCCCGGCCAGCGTCCTCGCACCCCCGCAGCCCCTTACCGTGGCAGAAGTAACCATGGCATCCGTGTGACTATTTCCAGGGGCGTCGACATGAAGAGAAAGGTGGGCGCGAGCTCGGTCATTCAAACTCTTCCCCACCCGCGTAGCCTCCACCAGCGGGAAGTAGAGAGAGCTCGGAGAGGAGGGAGAGCAAGAAAGTTGCGCCGGGCTCTCTGGCGGGCGGGCGGCGCGGAGCTGTCCCGAACTTAATCTGCGCGGTTATAACCAGCCAGCCCAGCCAGATGGCTCCGCGCTCAGCGCTTAACCCCTTGCGTGCCGTGCGTCCCAGCCAGCGCCAGCGGTGAGCCCGCCCTTACCAGGGAGAAACAAAAACAAACAAAAAGGAAAGGAAAGAAGGGAGGAAGGGAGGAAGGAGGGAAGGTGGGAAAGAGCGAAAGAGGAGAACTTCCAAATTAGCAATATCCTTCTGTAGCTCCTACCCTTGATTTCCCTTGTAGAGCCAGGGAAAAAGAAAGGAAACATTGAATTCATCACTGTTTTACATGTTAATGTCTTCAGCCTGTCTTACTTGTTCTTTTTCTTGACAATTTGCTTTTCTGATTTTTTTTTTTCATTTAAGATTTTCTTTACAAGGCAGAAGGGCCTTCCTTGCCCCTAGCTCAGGAGGGTTGAATTTGAACCACAAAGTCCAAGCTCTGGACCCCCTCATCAGGCCCACCCGTTACCCCCAAGGACCACTGTGGCTTTTGGGGAGCAGCACCCCGGGGGCCAGAGCTGGAGGCCCTAGGAAGAGTTAAGTCAGAGGAGAGATTGGGGTGGGTGGCAGGAAGACCAAGGGAGGACTGCTTTCAGCTTGTGCCTGTGTGTGTGTGTGTGTGTGTGTGTGTGTGTGTGTGTGTGTGTATACACACACACACACACACACACACACACACACACACAGGAGAGCAAAGCAGGGGACAGATCAGCCTCCGGTTTCACTCAGCTTCCAGCTTCTCCTAAACCCCTCCCTTCAAAAGTAGCATGGCCCTCAGCGCCAGACCAGTGCCCTCCAGAGTGCAGGCAGCTGGGCAGCAGAATAGGCTGGGAGCAAACCAACCTCCTCTTGGTTCCCCAAAGTGACTGACTTCCCCACCTAGAGAATCATTCCAGGAAAAGCTCCAGGGAAGGGACATAGTTTCAGCCCAGCTGGAGACCCTTTCTGCTGTCTTTAGCTCTCACTTGTTCTGAGCACCTTCTGAATTTGCCATGTTGACATCTTGCTTTTTCCGTGGGCCCCCAGAAAGAATTAGGGGTCCAGGAGGAACCAGAGCTTGTGAGGGAGAGGCTGAATTCTCCCCTCCTCTGTCTGTGCCTGTCTCCAGGCACCCAACAGCTTCCTCCCTGCCACCTCTGAAAGTCCCCAAGGCACCTTGCCCACCAGGACCTTTGGATCCCTCCTTGGGGGAGTCCAGCTGTGTCCTCTCCTCCCAGCCTCTGTGTTCCAGGCGCCTTACAAGCAGCCGCTCTGTATTTCACCAAGGGTCCATGTTCCAAAAACGCCAAATTCCTTGTAATTGTAGGAGTTTGGCCAAACACCCAGAAAGCCAGGACATCACCCGTGGGTGGCCGTGGAGAGGCAGAGAGAAGACACGGGTAGGAGGCGGGGAGGTGGAAAGGCTGGAGACGCTGCGTACTAGATAGATTGTACCTGCCTCATCATTATCCAGGCTGGTGGGGGCTGCCACATGGAGGCGCGAAGAGTAGGGTCCTCCTTCAGGGGCTTGCCTCCTGCCAGAGGACCCGCGTCTGTCTGCAGGCCTGGTCCTGCTGCGGAGTTGTCCCCTCCACCTCTCCACACATCACCGCGGTGCTCTGGGCTGGGCTTGCTCCCTGGGATTCTGGTTTTCTCCTCTCACTGGCCCGCCTCCCTGCCCTCCCCCACTGCCAGCGCGTGCCCCCTCCTTCCCTCCGCCTGGTCCCTGTGTGATAGACCGCTGAGTTAGGTGGGAATATTCTAGGCAGGCAGACAGGGCTGGGCTCTCCAGGGAGTCAGTGCTGGGTGAGAACGCATCACAGCTGTGGCTGGAGGCTCACAGGCCGGGCCTCAGGATGAAGAAGGAATGACTGGCCACGTGCCCCCCAGGGGTAACTGGTGTATTATGATACATATTCTAGATAAGAACCAGTCATGGGGGTCTCTTCCAAAAAAGGTCCTTGTTATTTCTATGTACACTTGCTACATGACTTGCAAAAACATCCGGGACCCAGTTTCAGCTACCATGGCCCTGTTCTAGGGCCCTTTTCTCAGATTCCAGGTCCTTAGGGAATCTGCAGATGGAAAGGAAGGAGGTACCTGGCTGGGCTGCAGTGAGGAAGGGGTTAAATGCATGTGCATGCTGATCCCTGGCAGCGCCAGGGTCATTGGCAGTCTGGAGGGAGGAGGGGAAGAGGGGCAAAGCTCAAATATGAAACTATAGAAGAAAAGGAGAGGGAGACAAGGCAGCCTGAGAGTTTGTTCTACAGATCCCGCACAGGCAGGCCAGCGATCTTCCAGGACCCCACTGGGCCAGGAAAGATTTGCATTGTTTCCAACTCCAGGAGATGGTGGGTCTATCTCTGCCTAGGGTGCAGGCCTTGTAAAAGGAGAGGTGACTCGGGATCCTCTGCACAAATACAGTCTGCCTGAGGGAGCAGGGAGGAGAGAACGGACCTAGGTGGGAGCAGAGCAGCGAGATGCTCTTTTCTCCAAAAGGTTCCTGGAAAGGAGAGCACAGCCCTGCTCTTTGGAAGATGTCGCAGGCAGCCTTCCTCTAGTGGTCAACCTGCACCTTCCTGTCCAGGTCTACTGCTTTGGAGCTCAAGGTGGGCTCTTCTCCACTCCACAGAAGGCGAATATGGCACAGGGCCTTCCTTTCTGATTTACAGGAGTGTGGTGGGTGATAGGTGAGCGAGGTGGGTGGAAAAGGAGTAGGGCTGTATTTGCTTGAAGACAGAATAAAAAATTACTGAATACAATTCAGAATCACTTGGAAAGCAGTAGTGACTTCTAAGCAATCCGTGTTTCTACACGTAGGCTTTTCTCTAGAGAAAGATTGCTAAAGCAAAGAGCAGCAAGGTAAACAAAGCCCGGGGGCTGGTGCCCCATACACAGCCCTGGTGCAGCCGTCCACAGAAAAGCAGGTCCTTTTGATCAACTAGATGGTTGCCTCCACGCTGCGTGTAGTCATGGTCTCCACCGCCCATCTGTTGGCTGTATTTTTAGGTCTCTGAACTTTCTTTTTCTCCCTGCTCTATCAGAGTTGATGGCCCTGACTCCTAAAAGTGGTTTGTGAGAGCAGGAACCACCCCAAGATTTTGAAAGCCCCCTTTAAAATTCTCTCCTACAGCCACTTTCCGCAGCGCGCCTTCCGCCCACCCTTATCTTTTGCAATAGCGCCACTCTGTGGTTGAAACACAGAACGAAAACAAAATGGAAATGCTGGAAAGCATTTTGGCTTCACTTTGCACACATCCCCACCGACTAGCTCTGTTTCTATTCCTGAGCAGTGCGCATGTGTGGACTGGGGTGGGCACCACGTAAGGCGGGAGAGGAGTGTGTGGCTAATTGTTGCGACACACAGACCCCAGAGATGAGAGAATTGGGCCACACGGCCTCCGAGGACCTTTTCCCCTGCGACTGCACATGGCAAGGCTAAGCCTGGTCACTTCCCCCGTAAGCGTGTGTCTGGTCCTGAGTGTCTGTCTTCTTTCACCGCTTTCTCCCCCTGTCCTTTCATGTTGCTGAAACAGACTCCACTCCTTAGCCGGCCCTGTTGCATCTTCTTCAGCCGCCCTGATGCAGTGGATCACCTAGGCGGAAGGGCTTCCCGTTACGGTGCCTTTTCTGCCTACCCCAGCTGTCCCGTCCCACTCACTCAGACACCTGCAGGAGCAGATGGAGGCGGAAAGCCTATGTTTTTGAAACCGCTAAAATGGATGCTAGAAGTTTTCTCTGGAAATGGGAACTTAGCTGGAAAGGGCTGCACAGGCCTGGAATCGCAGAGCTCTGTGTGGCTGAGGATCACAAATTTGAGCCCATCCTGGCTAACTTAGCAAGACTTTATCTCATAACCAGAAATAAAAGAGGGGTGGGAGGTAACTCAATGCAAAGGCCCTGGGTTCAACCCCGAGTACCACAAAGAAATAAAGGAAGGAAAGAAGGGAGGAGCAAGGGAGTGAGGAAGGGAGGAAGAGGAACTTAAGGGCTAGAGGAGGCTGCCTCATGCTACCTTGGCTTCAAGCTTTGTGCCTATCTGCTACTAATAATAGTAACCTCGAGCTACTGACCAGGCCATCGGCCAATTAGCACCTCCTCCCAAATGCCCTGCGAACAGTGTAAGGCATTGCAGCAGTTGCCCGTGGAAATGGAGCGACTCCATTCAGCAAGCTCCGTTCTTTTCCGTTTTGGTTTTCATCCTAAGAAAAGAGAAAGCAGTTTTCCAAGGACTATGCTTGATCTCTGCAAACAGGACAGGGGTGTTAAAGGTGAAATGTACTGACCCCTGTCTCTCCACGCTGCATTCAATAATTGAAGAAATGGGGACCCCCACCTTTCCATCACTCTTCTCTGGGTAACAGGAAACAAAATAAGCTGCAGTAACAGATCAGGAGCTGCAATTTCCACAGAGTCAGACAAACCTGGTTCCATGTGGCCTCTGCACCTAGTCCCTTAACTGGTCAGAGCCCATCTGGGACAGTGAGAACGCTAGTCTGCGAGGAGTACTACGAAGTCTGAACAAGTGAATCAGCTCCCACTCTCAGCACCAGCCGGGCCTGGTGGAAGTTGAGTTCCCAGCCCATGGTCCTCACACTGAAGTCGCTGCCACCCCCGGGGTGGTGACCACTGTCTCCAGACGGAAGCTTGTCTGCGGCAGCCTGTACATCTGCCTGGTGTGGTTTCAGAACTGTAATCTCACGGGTGCATATTCTCCCTTTGGGACAGACAGCAAGAAACTGACAGAATGAAGTAGTAGGTGTACTCAGGACTTATTTAATTTCCTAATGTGGACCTCAACAACATGAAAGACGGAGTTGAAGGGTTTGAGCACTTCATCTCATTCCTTCCTGGCCTCTCAGACAGAGTCACTCCATCACTGAGGAGGCAGCTCCACCGTGCCCCTCCGCCGACAGATGCTCGCTCGGTGTATTTTACTTTGTTGTTACTGCTAATTATGTTCTAGGGCTTACATTGAACAATAAAACGAATTACATTGAGCAA